TATGAAACCAATAGAAATAATGAAGCATTGATTGAGGAGATGTGGTGTTTAACACCCCGAGAGAAATAATGAACCAATAATTAGCATAAACCACGTGCATCCTAGAACGAGGTTGGGCTACACATATCTAGATACAGAAAAATGGCTAAGGACATATGCAGTACCTGTCTAAGAACTGTCCAAGAACATATGTAAGTACTAATATTCATTAAACGTCGAGTTAGTCGTTCAGACATGTCTTCCTTTCACCTCTTTGTGTCAGTGAATAAGACGACCCTGTCGGTTTGCGCAGGGTGTGGCTGTTCCCTTGCGAGGCGCACATCAACGGCGGCGTGGAGCTGGGCTACCTGGACCTGGTGCCCCAGCTGGTGGAGCGGCCGGCAGGATGCATCCGCTACGAGACGGTGCCCGACCTGCTGGAGAGGTTCAACGCCGAGCAGGCGACCGGAGCGAGGCCCGTGCCCGGAAAGGTGATCGGGGTCGAGTCGCGGGACGTGCGCCAACCGGACAAGATGCGCCGCGACGTGGACCAGGGGGACGGCTTCGGCTACTTCCAGCTCTTCAGCCTGCGCATCTTCTTCTACCGGGGCCTGCCCACTCGGGAGAGGATACGTGAGTGTTGTGCGAACCGCGTTTCGGCGGCGCAGAGGAGGAGGAAAAAACCTGTAGTGATGCTGGCTGTGCCAGATAGCCCTTATCCCCAACCGGGCTGGTTGACATCCCTAGTCCGGGACGTCATTAGTCGAGGCCGCCACCCGAGCCCGCTGGACTAGAGTTCGCTGTTCCTCTAGTGTGGAGCTATTGAGTAGGGTCGTATCCCAGTCCTCTTTGGTGGGGTGGGGAAAGGGGGTTAATTTTGGGTTCATTTGGCAGGCCCAGACCATATGGTAAGCGTTGGCCACTTCCCCACAGCACTGGCACTGCCCACTTATTTTGGGGTCGTAATATTTGAGTATGGCTGGACAGAGCAGCGTATAAGAAGACGACAGCTCAGCACGGCGATGGAATGCGGGGTGTCAAAAACCAAGCTTTGTAATGTTCTCAAGATTAAGGGCTGTGACGTACGCGAAATCCACATAGTGTTCTCAGAGATACACAAAGCGAGGGAATAATTAGCGCTGTCAGCCACACAATTGAGAAACCTTGAATAATGAACTCTTTTTAGTGTCTGCAGCAAGCAGGCATGTTCGTATTAATGAAGTCAGAGGCAGTCGTTTTTCTGCACAGTTCCATTTGTTCTGGAAGAATTCTTCTATAAATGGGTGCTTCGGGATATCCCGCTGCAAAGTTTAATTCCGGTTTGCACGATTACGCATGCAAGACAGTGAGCACTTGCGAGTAATAATGGGAGTACTGGGTATAGAGGCAGTGATGGCAGCAGTAATGGGCGTATAGCAGTGAGTTGTGACCACTCGTTCAGAAACTCCTATCGTTCCGCGAATAACATTTCCAGGACCTTACGAAAATCTCTACATTCCACTAAATGACGCCAAATCCGCGAAAGAGATCGAAAATCCCTAGATCTATAGAGATGAATCTCTCGGGTTGACACATTGTCACCGACTGCCCATCGCCGAGTCAAATACGCACCTTTGCAACTTCGAAAACTGCGTTCCGCATTCTCGATATTGGCACGATTTTTTTTTCCATCACCGGGATTCGAGACGGTAGAAAAATCACCGTGCACACTGAGATTTCTAACTATAGGCTACTGTAGACATCAGTCAGCTGAATTACGACATTCGTTTTTTTTATTTACTTCTTTTTTGAAGGAATTGTCTCTTCTAAGCGCCTCACCTCACCATATTCCTGCGCTTGTCCCCACGTAGTGAGCGGTCAACAACCAACGAACCCAACTAAAGGGCTGTCAAGCGGTACCCCACTTCTAAATTCGATGCAACTCCTTGTCATTTCTTCTATTTTATCAGTAAGTTATGTCAAAACATAGCATCAGTCGCAAAAAAAAAAGAAAAAAAAGATTTGGAAACAAAAAATGTGTGGCAGCGGTGGGATTCGAACCCACGCCCCCGAAGAGACTGGTGCCTTAAACCAGCGCCTTAGACCGCTCGGCCACGCTACCTACAGTCAGGGGTTAACCTAACAGGTCATTAGGTAAAAACTGACATTAAGTCGCCAGAAGCGTGTACTTTTGCAAAGGAGATTATGTTGGGCGAGTTGATGCATTGACATAGAAACCATTGTGAGGCGACGAAACACAACACACAGGAAGAGACGACGACAATCGCGCCTTACGAGCGGCGTGGCGCTAGGCAGCACCTGTTCGCTGACGTCACCTTCACTCTTTGTAGTCAAATTTTAACCAACAAAGCACTCGTAGTGCGAATTTATGATCCACAATTTAGAAATATCCAGAAATAATAATACTAAAAGACATTCAGAATTTTTTTGCAATAAAATGCACGCGACAACGCATAGGCTGTCCAAAATCATGTAAATCCACGGGTTTCCACGTTTGTCAACCAGTGTGCTATAATTCTTAAGCGCACTGAACAGCTTACTTGACCAGCAATGTATGGGAAGAAATAGTCACATATATGCCGACAGTTCACCACAGAAAGCAGGCATTCTTATACCAGCGCCTACAAAACAACCGTAAAGAAGCAGACGAACAGGTTATAGGTAGCGCCACCTACGGCGAGCGATTGAACGAGAGCGGGGACACGCGCTCCCATAGGAACCCCGCTATCTGAACAGGTCAGGAGTGTAGTAGTCATGCTCACCAGTCTCTTCCTATATAGATGTGTGTTTTATAGCTTTTATAGCTGTGTACTGTAGTGCCTCGATGTCTCCTGCCACATCGAGGCACCCTAGTGTGTTGTTTATTTGCCCCCTCACGATGGTTTCTATGTCTAGTTTCAGTTTACAATGCTGTCAGCGAATGCGGTTGGTTGCGCTGAGATGAGTTGAGGGACGCTGTGACCAATGACGAGAGGCTGTATGTACAGTACGCAGTTTGGACTCCATTATTAGCTCTTCGCGGTTATAGTAACACTTTCAGGGGACTTACAATGCTATCAAAAAGCGAAGCGAGATTTTTTTTTTTTTTAATGGGCGAAGCTATTTATGGTCTAAGCAGTTCCGCGTCCCGAGGGGCGAATCCAGCTACCCAATTTGAGGGGGAGCGGGGGGGTGTCTCTGGAATGAACACCGGAAAGGTGTCGAGGACATTGCTTTTCGTTTGTTTTTACTAGCACGAAAACCTTGTAATGGCATAAATACTGTTATTGTGTGCTCACAGTGGTCCCACTCATTTGTCCTAATTGACGATATCAGGTGGATGGTGAGCACTGAAGAGAGGAGGAGGGGGTACTGACAGGCTTTGGGGGAGGAGAGAGATCGCCCCTACCCCCCCCCCCCTGGATCCGCCAATGCGTCCCTCCGGCGTAGCCAGCACAGCGTATCCACAGACAGACAGACAGACAGACAGGCAGACGGACGGACAGACAGGCAGACGGACGGAGAGACAGGCGAACAGACGGACGGACGGACAGACAGGACAGACAGACAGGACAGACAGACAGACAGACAGACAGACAGACAGACAGACAGACAGACAGACAGACGCTTCGCCCCACGCATCATTCACTCCGTGGATATGGTGTGATTTTTTTTTTTTTTTCCGCGGCTTCAGAGTGCGTAATACGATCGGCGAAAGCAGGAACAGCTGTACTCGTCGGCAATGCGACAAACACCTGAAACGCAAATAGCTCGGCAGACAACTGTATGTGATGCAAGCAACAACGCATCGTGACCGGCGTCAACGAAGGTCAGGTCCGATCAAACGAACAAAACGCACGTGCAAAACACAAGAGCACCCACTGTTTGAATAAACACTCCATGCTTTCGGCGTACATACTTTTAGTGGCGAAGCTCCTTAGGGGTTGGCCTTGTTGTCGTCCGATGTATCGGCGTCCACACCATTTCACACCTACTACACTGATGCGAAAAAAAAACCTGCACTGTTGACAAAATGTTAAAAGAAAAACAAACAGAACGGGACAATAAAAAATAGCTAGAAGCACAGGCCCTTTATACTTGTCAGCGAATTCAACGTGGCCTCCGGGACCTAGCTTTATCATCGATCACTGTCCGCTGTCATGGCGGTTAGAAAACCGTTGCTATAGGCGACACATATGTGTGTACGTAATAATGTTTTAAATGTTTTATGGTATGCGAACAAGTTATGATTGTGACCGAACGATATAAAGCACCTACAAGCTCAAACCCTTTATACTAGTCGACAACTTCAACGCTAGCATTATGGACCTTAGGATGCAAGCAAAATGGAAATATCAGGGGGGAGGGGTTGAATCCTCTAACTCCCCCCCCCCCCCCTTTTGGCTACGCCATTGTCACTGTGCGACATACATATTTCCAACACACTTCCAACTCATCGCGCTGAAACTTGCCGCCCCCCCCCCCCTCCTTTCTACCATCAATGAAACCCTGCGCACTTTGTGTGGTTAATAAGACCTGTTAACCTGGGTGGCTTATTGCAGAGATTCGCGACGTGGTTCCCAAGCCGCTTGACGACTACGCATTCGAGGAGTTCCCATGCGTACTCAAGAGGGCTTCCCAATGGCTGCAGAGCGAGAGTCCACTCAAGCTGTACAACCTACAGACACTCTTTGTCAAGGCAAAGATCGGTGAGCTCTCGAGAACAAGCAACAACACTGCCAGACCGGCTAGCTGTTTTCTGCAAGTGCTGTTACGTGGTGATTACAGCATACTAGAATGTCATTTTAGCATACTGCACGAAACCAACTTTTTAATATTAATTTAGTAGAGACCAGGAGAATGGTGAGAAAATGTTAGACCAACTGGCAATACTAGAAAAAATAAAACGCGATGCTTCTGCGAAATCAAAGCAAGAACGGCGCATTGATCGGTAAGAGCAAGTATTTTCTATTACATTAAGTGACCTAACATAGAATGTTAGATTGCTTTTTTTTTTACGTGAGATGTGTTCCCAGATAAAAATGTGCAACTGGGATTTCCAGCTGGTTTCAACTGACTTTAACTGGAACAAGCTGGTTCCAACTGGAAACGATTGCTCCCAGTTGGGAGTCAACAGGTGAACAGCTGGATCCAGTTACAATCAAACTGTATCAGTTGAACTGGTACGAGCAAGTTTCAGTTGAAAATCGTAACCAGTCCAACTAGAGGCATGCAGTTCCAGTTGTGTTACAAAACTAGAACTGCGCCAAGTTGTTCTGAATATACGATTATTCACAGTCGAAGGAAAGAACAGTTCACAGTAAGATGGTAAGCTGGGCTAGTCGGTTCGGATTCGTCGTGAACTCGTTTACAGCGCAACACCGAAAACACACACAAGGAATAACAGAGCAAAAGAGACAGCGACGTCTTTTCTTCTTTCTCTTTTGCTCCTTCCTTGTCTGTGTTTCTGGTGTTGCGCTGTAAACGAGTTCACGACAAGTTCAACGTACAGGGTGGATTGCAGGGCCTTTAGCGATACAACAAGAGGCTTCGCACTGCACGCAGACGTTCCTCCGGGCACGGCATTGTCGCGCAAGGTACGCACGCTGGTTCGCTACCTGAAGGTTCTGCGCATCGTGTACAGCACGTTTCCCGAGAGCGCCGCCGACTTCGCGAGCCTGCGCTCTCCGCGGTGCATGTCTCACCGAGTGTTCATGCCGGCCCTGACCCGCGACGGCCGAGACTTGCCCGTCGCCGAGGCCATACGCGCGTTGAAGGCAGACATGAGCCTGTGGAGCGTCGGCCTGCGTGAGTATCCCATTCCTCTGCGGTCCGAAACCTGCACCTTCCGTCAAGGGCACCACCACGATTCAAAAGGGGGGGAGGGGGGGAATCATCGGTGGCAAGCGAGTTTTTTAAAGGGGCCCTGAAACGCTTTTTTAGGGAACCATCCAATGAATTCGCTGGAAGAGCTTATTGTCTCACGAATTCAACGCCGCGAAAATTGTGAGAATCCGTGTAGCGCGAGTGCAGTTACTAAGATTTCTCGCATGCTGCAATTGCATTCTCACTTCTCTCGTCCACCCGAAAGCCCTGGAAGCTAAGCAGGTAGGGATGGCAGGGGCAAATAAAATACGTCACGCACGCCTCGTGACCTCGAGCACGTTTTCTTTTTTCTTCGAATGAGCGGATTTTTTAGTGTGACCGCGCGTGCACGAGTGGACAAGTGGCGGCCTCCTGCGGCGACCTCTGTGACGACCGAGTGCGACATGTACAAATTAGCCAATGGCTGATAGATGGCTTTTTACGAGTGATTTTTGAGCTTCCATTATTTGTCGAGAGAAGAAAAAGCAATTTTCAGCTGACTTTGATAAATTATTGTGAATTCCATGTTGCGTGCTGCTCTATAATATTTGGCTAGCGTGTTCTCGGGCGCATGTAGAGTTTGATCGGCATGTAGAATTTTCTGACCATACTAAAAGGTGCTGCAGGGCCCCTGTAAGAGGGTAGGGGCACTGTAAACTTATGCGCTGTGTTTTGAATGTGTTTGCTCTTAGGGTGGAGGGGGTGCAAGCAGAAATCTTTAGAAAGTGCTTTCCCCCTACCCCGCCCTGCTATGCAAAACTAAAAAAAAAGCAAAGTTTAGGTAAAATGAGTTTACTTACTCGTTTAAAAGATGGAGGATAATGCAGAGACAAAAAAAGATGTTCTACGTCAATCAACCACGAAGGTAAAGCAGTGAAACTGACCGCTGCAGTGGTGTAGCATTGTCGGGAGAGGCGGACAACGGACTCTGCTAAGTAAAAGCTTGAGCTAGCTGCTTTTCTTGCAGAGCCGTCGAACGCAAAAGAAGCTTACAGAAAAATGGAATAGATGCGACAGCAGTACTCACACGACTAATTTTAATCATTCAGGTATATGAGCGAGCAGGACAGCAATGAAAAAAAAAATGGCAGCAATCCGACCGGTCGGTAGCAGATAAGCATGGAATAGAATGTTATTTGTGATAAGACAATTCTCTTTGAAACATCAGGGGAATCGATAGTAATCTGGTCCGCACCCTAAATAAAGCGTCGAATAAAACGGTACTTATTTCGAATAAGGCACTTTTGTATAGGTCTTAATCGAAGCTTGATTTATATGAACTGTAGCTAGTATATATCAAGTCCTATAGGTCGCATGTCATAATCCGTAGGTCACATTAAATCCGTAGGTCACATTAGGATCATCTTGGTAGGTGTCCTGGTCCCTTCTTCAGAAACGTCACCCTTAGTACGCATAAGTCAGTGGTTTGTCAAGTATGCATGAGGCAATCGCAAATATAACCTGATCAGGCCAATCACTGTCACATCGACCGACGCGCAGGGGGCAACATCCTGTGTGCTGAGTCGCTGACTGTGGACTACGACCCATCGGGGCGCGGCCCGAGCAAGATCAACGCATCGGCGGCCAGCAAGTCCGAGATCATGGCGGCCACAAACGCCGGTGGAGCCGCGCAGCGGCGAGCTCGCGTGGTGCTCTACTTTCGCGTCTACACGGACGCGCCCGAGCCCATCGAGAAGGCGGCCGCCCCCCCATCGACCTCGGTCAGCCGACCCCGCATGAGCGCGAACTCTGCCACACTGTCCAGCAGAAGTAGTGTTCCGGCTGTAACGAACCGGAAGTGCCGCATCATGTGACGCGGGTCACGTCTCCCGAGTTTCCAATGAATGTCACCCAATAGATGTCTCGGCTCGGTTGAATAAAGTGGTTCCATAAAGACAACGGTTGACATTGTACTTGGCACAGAAAAATGTAACCGTTCGCGCTAAGGAGGTACCGAAATGAAAATTTTCAGTTGTTTTTTTGTTGCATCAAATGAAAGGCGAAGCTCTTGAGAGCATGGAAAACGTCCAAACGAGCGTCAGTGTAAAAAGTATTTGCAGTATATTTTTAAACGTTTTGGTTCCGACTGTATACCCCGTGACAACACGGTATGAGCTTCTCGTGACGCAGTCACGCAAGATGTCGTGATGTTTCCACGACTGCTCCACTGGGCAGCTACGTTGGTGATGCACAAGTGGCCATATTGAATGTTACTGTTTTTAACAACCGATGTTGCAACTGGCCATAGCTGGAGCGTGGCATCACGACATTGTTGGTGTCAGTAGGTGCACAATAAGAAAACTTTAATGTCAAAATAAGATATATCATCAGCATCTAGTGAGCTTGACATTTACTCAGAACATCCAATGGCAGAGTAATTTAATCTCTGAAAATTAGTGTCAGTGCACCTTTAATGAAGTATTTTCCAAAATCTACAGTTACACAGCTCGTCGAAACACTTCATGACCTGTCTCTCGGCATAAATGAACGTATTCAAACTGATGTAATTTTTCTCGACTTCTCGAAGGCATTCGGCCGCGTCTCGCACCCTAAACTACTACTTAAACTTAATCACTTGTTAGGCAATGGCCCCATCTTCCAATAGATAACTTATTACTTAACTGACCGTCACCAATACGCACAGCATGGCATCCACACTTCTGACCTAGCTCCGGCGTTGTCAGGCGTTCGCAGGGGTCTGTACTAGCTCCCGTTATGTTCCCAATATATATCAATGACATAACTAACTACGCAGACGTTAAACTCAGACTCTTTGCAGACGACTGTATGCTTTACAATAAAATATGTCATCACGATGATCAGGTGAAGTTAAGTAATTCATTAAACAAAATAGCTCAGTAGTGCGCTGATTGGCAAATGACTATAAACATTGACAAAACTGTATTTATGTCCATTACTAACAAGGTGTCTAAGTTTGATTTTCAATACCATTTTAATAATGTGCCACTATGAAGAGTTAACCAGTACAAATACCTTGGTATCACAATTTCGTCTGATCTTAGTTGGACAGAGCACGTGCGTCAAGTGTCCAAAAAACGATGAGCAAATTATTTTTTATTAAACAGGCCCTGTCATTCGCCACACATGAAACGAAGTTTCTTACATCACATTTCTCCACCCAGTCTTAGAATATGCTAATATCGTGTGGTTCCCTCACACTGTGAATAATATCACTATACTGGAAAGGGTTCAGCGGAAAGCAGTGCGCTTATCTTCAACAGATACGGGCGCAATGACTCACCTACTGCTCTATTACACCGTGCTGGTCTAGCCACTCTTGACAGTCGTGCAAAGGTTTTCCGGCTTAAATTTATCTACTTTTATACAGATCATTCCGCATAAACCCAGATCTTTACTTGAACTTTGGAGACACCAGACCGACGAGGCGAAGGCATGCATGGGAACTTGAAGAATACTCATTTAGTAATAATACTTTTTCTTATTTGTTCTTTCCGCGCGTAATTCACGAATAGAACACACTGAATCCAGTCATTACACATCAGCCAACATTAGAGAAATTTATGAAACTAATTGAAGGTACTGATCTATTCTAACCTAGTTAGCATGTATAGTGATCACCTGTTTTTCGTCACGCAGTCCTTCTTGCTTCCCATTGTCATACCAAAGCACTTGTCTGCATATATTTATTGTTTAATACGGTTCCTTGATAATAATACACAATGTGTTATCTTCTTTCTATGCTTCGTTTCTTCTCGACTCCAGTTTCTTTGTCGGAGTACCATTGGTGTACTTTGTACTTGGTTATGGTTCAAATAACTATGTATGATTGTTCTATGCCGTACTGATATGTTCAGTGATTATGTGTTCTTTATTATTCTGATTTTTCTTGTTTCAAACATCAAAAGTTGTGACAGTGATACTCACCCCTGTAATAATCCCCATTGGAGATTGACAGTATTCTGTAAATAAAAAAAATAAAATAAAATTAGAGTAAAGTGCTCCAAGACCAATTAATGAGCAATTGTATGGGTTTTACATTCTAAAACTATGATATGATTGTGAAAAACGCCATAGAGGAGTGCTCTGGCAATTTTGACGACCCGGAGTTCTTTAACGTGCACCTAAATCCAAGTGCACGGGCCAGATGCATTTTTGCCTCCACCAAAAATTTGGCCGCAGCATTCAATCTAGCTACCCTCGGATCAAATTATGCACCATCACCACTAGACCACCATAGTATGTGAAGTGCTCCTAGACAAATGTAGCAATTGATGAAAAGTAACTGTCCACTTCTGCATTGCTATCCCTCCAAAACTCTTATTCTATGCGAGCTGGCCTCTCTATTTTACTGCATCCTCAGAAGACTCGAACTTTCCTTATTGTCACAAACAACTTTCCAAATTAATGATGTTCAAAGAGGCCAGATATTGCAACTTACACTGCTTGCCATGTTTTACGTTACCAGCCTATTTAACGTGTATTGCTGCATTCTAGGCTTGTGCAAAAGTAAATTCCAAGTTCGAAACAAATAGTGACTTGATTCGAATAATTTTGAATCGAAAAGTAGTGTGTACAACATATTATAAGAAAAAATGAGCACATTTGTCATGACCCAACTAACGTGCACGTTATTTATTTTTTAACTGAAAAAAGTCATGTGCATATGCCATTTTTGAGGGGTTCAAAGAAGGTCGAAGAAACTTTGAATAGTAGTAGGATTTGACTTTTGGTAGAATGTAAAAGATAACAGGTATAATATGCTGTTTTAAACGTTACTATATTTTGACTATATAGGCCAGCATAACAAGCTCTTCAATTAAAAAAAAAGGAACAGATGTGAGGGTAATATGTTCATGTATTCTTGAAGTGAGTCATCGTGGAAGTGCGAATTTACTGTGGAAAGATGTATTCGCAGTACAGCATCCCTCCACAGCAGAGAAACCACTGTTACAAGGGTGTTCCATGAGGGCAAATATGCACTCATTCGTTCATTTCGAATAGTGCGCTGAAATGCACAATAATTTAAATTTAAATGAAAGAGAATTCAAAGATTTCAATATTATTTCGAATTTTCAAAGTGCTCGAATATTCGCACAAGCCAACTGCGTTGCGCAAAACTGCGCCCGAACGTCCGCGAAAATTACAGGTTATTTTGACAGTTTCTTTTAGGCTTGAGCACACAAGCGCAAGCAGTAGAGTTTATTCTATAACTAACACGGCCACCAGCGATAAGACTAAATTGTTCTACACCGCATGTGTAAATGCGGACGTCACTTAACTCGATGGCCGACGACTGTCCATGCAGCTGACAATTTACTGCATGAATCACTGGCTCATGGAATTTTCATTTTCTGAAAAGAGTTTGCCTGAATCAAAAGTTTAGTCTTGAACATGTCAATGGCTGCCTTCATCGACGTACCAACCACATGTAAATATCTACGACAGTCAACTTGCCTGAATAGACACGGTGGAAGAGCTGGCACCAAAGTGTTTTTCCACCACACTCTGTACCCTCTGGACAACCAGGAAGAGGTCTTGAACTTCTTCAGTGGATAGGTCACTCAGCCGAAGCGCTGGCCTGATTGGCGCCACCAGGACATCTGATGTAGGCGAAGTCACGGAAAAAGAAGCTAAAGAAGTAACGCACATGTACCACTGTTTAACTTGGCAATAGAAGCGTAAACCAGAACATACATGCGACTCATGTCAAATACGAGTTTTAATACTCGGCTTGCTCATGTCATCATTAGAAGTATGCAAATCAAAAATTTCAGAAACGAATCAAATGAAAATCAAATAGTGATGAGACTAAATTGAATATGAATACTAATTGAATAGTTTTTTAATAGTAAGACAAACATCTTGAAAGCAGTTCTAGAATTCCACAACATATTATTTGAAACAAATATTTACTGGCTTTCCCCAAAGAACCTTACGATTGCTTTTAACCGACTCGAGTTACCTCAGTTACGAAAAGTGGAGTAAGCTCGTGTACAGCAGTGACCAGAGCCTTTGAGGTATTTTGTAACTCTACGATGAAATTAGCAGTGGCTTCAGTATTCAAGGTGGTACTTTCTTGCCAGCTCTAAATAAAACTAACACATAACATAACTAAAATATTTGAACCACATACCACACATACAGCTAAAGCTGTGCTAATACATTTCGACGTGACGTGGTGCGCGTGCTCACCGACGTTCATTTCGTCGCGTCACGCCGGCGTTGCCACGCCAGCGCCGGTCTTGCCTTATACTCAAGAATTCCAGGTGTTGAAAATTTGTTTAGAGTTCCTTGCCACAGTTGCTTCATAATGATAATGTGGCCTTGGTGCACAGACACCAAAATTTCACTGGACAAGAATTTTTGGCAGACGTGAAACGAACACTATATGCGGCTCAGGTGGTTCAAGCCCTTACCTTTTGTCTACTCCCTTCTGTTTCAGTTACTGCATGTGGTGCCTGTTAAACCTGTAAATACTAACCAACCAGCCAGGCAACATGTTATGCAAAAGTCATTTTCAGAGACACCTTTGTCATATGCAAACATATTCAGGAAGGCATGCAGTATTGCCCAAAGAAATAAAATTCGCCAGATCCCACGTACCATGGTAATCGATGTTAGAAGCATGCGGTGGGAGATTGACTGAGGTGTAGTTCGAAACGCTATGAAACGAGACTAAACGTAAGTACAAGCTTTGTGTCCACAGATATGTGTTGAACAGTTGCATATGATATGTTTT